GCCCAAGGGTTTCGAATACCCGTTCGTGGTTCACCCAGCGACCCTAGACTCTGTGCTGCATCTTCTCTTCCCCTCTATTAGCGGCGAGGACCAGTCTCTTAGCGAGGCAGTCGTGCCATTCTCGTTTGACAGAATCTTTGTCTCGGCCAAACTCTCAACAGTCCCTGGAACTAAGCTTTACGGATGTTCCACGGCTCAGAAGACCAGCTACACCACTTGGAAATCCTCCATCGCCATCTCCGAGGATCTCTCTGAGCCCATGATTATCATGGACGGGCTGTCTTTGGCTTCCGTTGGAGAGGGAGAAGCTTCTCAAGCTCAAGAGACGAGGGCCTCCTGCTTCGGACAGACTTGGCACGAGGACTCTGACTTGCTTGAGCCCTCTCAGATCAAGGAGCTTGTGTACAAACGTACTATCAAGAGCAAAGATGACGACTCTGTCCTCGACAAGCTTGAGTACGTCTGTCTAGTCCACATTTATCGCTGCCTCGCCTGGCTTGAGAGTGAGGAGGGCAAAGCTTTTGTGCCCCAAGATGGCTTCTGGAAGTCCTATGTCGAGTGGATGCAAGACACTATCAAGCAATTCCCACCTCTTGCTGCTAGCGAGGCAGAAGTTGAAGTTGAGCTGGACGCCGCGCGCAAGAGAATCGTTCTGTCAGAGAGTGGCGACATCACAGTGCAGATGGTCGACCGCATCGGAGAGAACTTGAGCAAGATCTTCTCTCGCGTGGTCGAGCCGTTGCAGGTCATGACCGAGGGCGATCTGTTGTACTCCTTCTACCGCGGTGCCTTTGGAACCAGCTTCAACACCAACGTTGCGGAGTACGTTGGATTGATCGCTGACAAGAGACCTGGTGTCAACATCTTGGAGATTGGTGCTGGTACCGGCGGCACTACGTATCACGTCCTGGAGCGCCTACGCAATGCCGATGGAACTTCCAAGGCGGCGAAGTACTGCTTCACGGACATTTCGCCGGGCTTCCTCGCCAAGGCAGCCGATCGCTTCTCGACTGACGCATCCATCATGGAGTTCACCACTCTCAACATCGAAAACGAACCCACCGAGCAGGGCTTCACTACCGAGAGCTACGATCTCATTGTCTGCGCCAACGTACTTCACGCCACCAAGAGTATCCAAGAGACACTCGCTCACTGCAAGTCGCTCCTCAAGCCTGGTGGTCGTCTCGTGCTTTCCGAGGTTACGATCAAGCGCATCTTCAGTGGCTTCATCATGGGCCCTCTCCCTGGATGGTGGCTTGGCGAGGAAGACGGCCGTAAGGGAGGTCCTCTCCTGGATGTCGAGGAGTGGAATACTGCACTGAACCTGGTCGGCTTTTCGGGTGTCGATGTCGACATTCGCGGCGATCGCGAGGCTTCCAAGGAGCCTGTCTCCTTGATAATCTCGACGAAGCCAGAAAAGCAGGTGTCTGGCTCCTCTCAATTCGTCGTCTTTAGCACAGGGTCCGAGCTATCCGAGAAGCTTGCACAGTCCATCAAAGAGCAGTTCGTATCCGCTAGTCAAGATGTTTCAATCGCTCAATGGGATGGGATTTCAGAGAGCCAGGTCAACGGCAAGTACTGTCTCTGCCTCGCTGAATGGGAGGAACCCATCCTCGCCAACCTCACAGACGAGAATTGGGAGAAGCTGCGCCAAGTCATACTGGGCTCTGCTGGAACTCTCTGGATCACTGGTGGTGCCGCGATGGAATGCTCTGCGCCGATGAAGTCATTGATGGTTGGTCTTACAAGAGCAATTCGCAACGAGGACGCAGGCGTTCGGCTGGCTACCCTCGACCTCGAGACCGCTAGCAACATCAAGTTCGAAGAGGCCGCCAGGAATGTCCTCAAGGTGGCATTGAGCCACAGTCGTGACGACGGGTTTGACGGTGAATTCGCAGCTCGCGGTAGCACCGTCTACATCCCGAGAGTAGAGAGAACTCTCAACGTCGACGGCTCCCTTCGCAAATACGAAGCCAAGGGACAGCCGGAGCTTGTCCCGTTCAAAGGATGCGGACGACCGCTCAAGCTCACCATCAAGACACCTGGTCTTCTCGATACCTTCAGATGGGAAGAGGACGAGACGTCCTGCCAGCCCTTGCCTGAAGACTGGATCGAGGTCGAGGTCAAGGCAGTGGGTCTCAACTTCAAGGATGTCCTCGTCGCTTTGGGTAACCTCGCCGAGAACAAGCTCGGTGTCGATGCATCTGGAGTTGTCACTCGCGTCGGCTCAGCGGTCTCAGATTTCAAGCCCGGTGATCGTGTCATGACCGCCTCTTGCGACACTTTTGCGACCTACGTCCGCTTCCCGGCCAAGGGTGCTATCGCCGTCCCTGAGAAGCTGACTTTTGAGGAGGCGGCATCAATGCCCCTCATCTTCCTCACGGCTTATTACTCCCTGGTCACCGCCGGAAGCCTGGTCAAGGATGAGAAAGTTCTGATCCATGCCGCTGCCGGAGGTGTCGGTCAAGCTGCAATCATGATCGCGCAGCGCATGGGCGCTGAGATCTTTGCAACTGTCGGCTCGGACGAGAAGAAGAAGCTCATTATGGAGCAGTATGGAATCCCCGAGGATCACATTTTCAGCAGTCGTGATACCAGCTTTGCCAAAGCTATCATGCGAGCCACCAATGGCCAGGGCGTGGATGTCGTTCTCAACTCCTTAGCTGGTGAAGCCCTTCGTCTGTCGTGGCACTGCCTCGCCAAATTCGGTCGCTTCTTGGAAATTGGCAAGGCCGACCTCTTCGCCAATACGGGCCTCGACATGAAGCCCTTCCTCGACAACAAGAGCTACATCGGCGTCAATCTTCTCGATTTCGAGAACAACCCTACTCCCCGCGCAGTAGCTCTATGGGAAGAGACAGCGAAGCTCATCCATGATGGCTCCGTCAAGCCCATTGCGCCGATCCAGCTCTTCTCCATGGCCGAGGTCGAGAAGGCCTTCCGTCATATGCAGGCTGGCAAGCACATGGGCAAGGTAGTCGTTCGGGTAGACGATTCGGATATGGTCCCTGCCGTCCCCCGCATGCCGAGTGTGGACATCCAAGCAGACGCAACCTACGTCGTCGCCGGTGTTGGCGGTATCTGTAAGGAGATTGGACGCTGGCTTGCAGAGAAGGGTGCTAAACATCTCGTCTTGCTCTCTCGCTCTGCCGCCAGCAGTGAGGAGAACAAGGCTTTCGCCTCTGAGCTTCAGAAGACTTATGTGGCCAACACCTATGCATATGATTGCGATGTTGGCAACAAGGCTGCCCTTCAAGAGGTGTTGGAGGACTTGAAGGCAAAGAGTGTTCCTGCTGTGAAGGGATGTGTAACCGGTGCCATGGTTCTCAGAGTAAGTCAAAGCTCCCAACCCCAGCAGCATAATTGCGTTGCTGACAACTCACAACAGGATACCCTCTTTGACAAGATGACTGCGGACCACGTCCGCACAACTGTCAGGCCCAAGGTCCACGGAACCTGGAACCTGCACGAACTCCTCCCGCGAGACCTCGACTTCTTCGTGATGCTCAGCTCCCTCGCCGGCGTCATGGGCCACCGCGGACAGGGCAACTACGGGTGCGGCAATATCTTCCAGGACTACTTCGCGGCGTATCGCCGCAGTCAGGGCCTGCGCGCCATGACGATTGACATTGGCTATCTTCTCAGCGTCGGTTTCGTGGCTGAGCACGACGAGTACGTAGACCATGTCAAGGCCATGGGCCTCAAGGTGATGCACAAGAGCGATCTCCACGGCCTCATGGCCACGGCGCTCGAGGGTTCCGAAGCGCATCCTCCGCAGGTCATGTGCGGACTCCCCTACAATGAGCACGACGACGCGTGGTACTGGATCCAGGACCAGCGGTTCGCCGGCCTCAGGAAGACTGCCGCGGGCTCCGGGGCGGGCGGGTCTGCTACTGTTTCTCTTCGCGAAGAGCTGGCTCGCTGTGGCAAGGCGGACAACGAGGCCGTACACCTGATTACCTCTGCTCTGGTGCAGCGCCTGGCCAAGTTGATGATGATGCCCGAGGACGATGTAGATGCGGGCAAGCCACTGAGTGCTTATGGCGTCGACAGCCTGGTTGCTGTTGAGGTCAGGAATTGGATTGCAAAGGAGGTTGCGGTTGAGGTTAGTGTATTTGACATCATGGCCAACATTCCCATGAGGCAACTGGCTGCGGATTTAGCTGGGAAGAGCAAGCTCTTAGTTCAAGAAGCTTCATAAAGTCCTTGTTGAATGGTTTGGATTACAGGAGATGGGAGTTTGGGGGGGATTTGATTTAGCTTTCTTTTTCTGTAGGTGATTATGGTTCAGCGTGTGTATGCCCTATGATCGGCCGTAAATGATGTTTAGAGACAAGCCAAGCAGAAACAGTCTGTTGTGCGAAGAGAGACGTCAACTTACAAGTTCTTGACTGCCTCCAAAGTCTAGTGTTCTCGTTCCTCAAACATAGTCTTGGAAGAACGACAGATGAAGCATAACCTACTGCTGACACTATTGAAGATACATACTTCGTCGAGCAGGGCAACTCACCAGCGCATCTCAGTGGTACTGACAACATGACCCTATTGTGGTGATGTCCACAAGCTCCCATGAACCACTCAGTACCCGAAAGATTCAGGGGAATACAGTGCTGAGTGTGTCTACGGAGTATGGCAACCTGGAAAGCCGTGGTCCACTGTGCTGGTAACAGGGGCTAAGACAAACAAGCTCCAGCGAAGTTCATGACTCGCCCCCTGAAGACCAGGGATTCCTCGGCGGAAACACTCTCGACAGCAGGACCTGAGCACCTGTCACTTGTCCACGTGCTTGGAGCTGTCTGTTGATATCAATGATCGTTTTTGCTTCTTATCTCGATGAATTTCAGAGGAAATGACATTGATTCGATTGATATCGAGTCTCAATTGCCTCTTAATTCAGTTGTCAACTTCCCACCTTAACCAATTCTTCTCACTCTCAGTCTATCATTGCTCACAACAGAAGCTTCAAACGCTCGCCTTAGCGGTAAAACATTCCAGCAACAATGGCGGCCCAGACTCCTGTGCCAGCGTCTTCAGCGCCTTTACCCGCTAAAGAGATGAAGGTCCTCTCGTTGGGAATGACACGGACTGGTTCGTACCCAAAGCGTTGTAACTCATGCATGTCTATAGGGGACTAAACAACTACACAGGCTCTGCTTCGATCACTAAAGCTCTCACAATATTGGGCTTTCAGGGAGTCCACCACGGCATCCAGGCCATCTCTTCGCCCCGCGAATGGGCGCTGTTTTCTCGCGCCGCGGACGCCGTGTTTCCCACACTTGCAACTCATAACGGCGCACCCTTTACACGCAATGACTGGGAAGCACTATTCGGCTCCTACGAAGCAGTCACTGATATGGGCAGCTTCTTCGCCCTACAACTCATTGAGACGTATCCAGAGGCTAAGGTCATCCTCGTTGAACGCGACGTCGACAGCTGGTTTCATAGCATGGATGAAGCCATCTTCAAGACTACCTGGGGCTTGCGCGCGAACCTGATCATTGATTTTCTGGGGCCGGCATGGGGCTTGAACGGCGGGAGGACTCTTAGGAAGATCCTGCTGGGATTCTACGGCGTCCGAAACGTAAAGGAGATGAGACAAGTCGCCAAAGATCGTTACAGGAAGCACTATGCAGAGGTCCGGGCCGCGGTCCCCAAGGACCGGCTGTTGGAATTCAAGTTGGAGGATGGTTGGGCGCCGTTGTGCGAATTTCTGGGTAAGGACGTCCCGAGCGGCGTCGATTTTCCCGTGGCGAACCAGAGAAGAGAGCACCTTGAGCGCGTGCGAACGAGGCAGAATCGGTTCTTCAAGCTCGCTTTCTTCACTGGCTTGCGGAAGGTTATGCCCTGGGCATTTGGTCTTGGGTTCGTTGCAGCAGGTGTGTACTTTGGTAAGCCGACTTGGAAGCCAACTCGGTTGGGATGGGACGAACTGCATCGGGTCTTCCAGACAATTCTGAAAGACCTTGAGCTTCGGCTGAAGTAGGACAGCGTTACCTTTTCATTGTTTGTCTTGATTTGGTCTAAATCCTCAGATAAATGTAAGATATTGTCCGCAATTCGTCTACACATTGAAGCTATTTAGGGAGTAGATATGGTAGGAACAATGCACTTCAGCTTCCAACAAGCGTGGTGATGTCGGCTTATGTACACTGTTCCCACCGCAACAAATTGGATGCAGGTTCACACAATATGCCAGGTTGATTCTAGCTACCTCAGGTATCTAACTGAGCCGAAAGCCATTCGGCGATCCTTCCGGCGCCTAGAGCCGAGACCAAGCCGTGACGGAGGGCGATTATCGGCAAGACTCACCTATTTCGGCCCCACTGCTTTCTCCGCCCGGGTTCGGCGTTTGGCAGTGTCCCCCGTAACACGTCAGAATCCTCCGAATGACAACATCAACCTTAATCCGCTTCAATGCATGAGACCCCTGATCGCCACATCTTGGAAGATTACTTTAGGGCTTGGCAAGCCCGACAGACCGGCCATATCGCGGCGCCGTTCCTCAGCCCTACTCCTTTCCTCGGTCCCGATTTTGCGTCAGGTCGCTGTATTGATCCTCTGCGGTTAGGACTTCTGCGCAAATCAAATCGCTGAAGAGCTCTAGTCTCACCAATGGAGTCTCGTCAGGAAACAGTTATTCACTGGCTCGGGAGACGACCATCCTCGAACCCAGGGGTTACATTTGGGGTGCCTTGGCGGCGAGGAGTCTGCCATCCCTCGGATACCGCATTCATTTGCAGAACAGAAAGTGGGAGCGAGATTCCACTACAGACCTGGCCAACCGCATTCTGGCCCGACGGATCTGTGAAATGGACAAGCCATGCGATTGTCTCATCAGCGACACCAGAAGAGAGCTACCGCGTTATTGCAGTTGACTCGTCGGGCGTCAAGCTACCATTTCCAGATGAGCTCATAGCCGAGGAAGACTCCAACTTCATCTCAGTTAGCACTGGGAGCTTGAAGATAACGTTTGCAAAGACTGGGAACGAGATCATCAAGGAAGTTATCAATGCTAAGGGCATCACGGTTGGTGTAAAAGGCAAATTAGTTCTCCTTTCCCAGGATCGTGTATATGATCCCGATAAACCAGACTCATTTGTGAAGCACCATAATTTCCAGGGGAGCGTTAGCTCGGTGGTAATTGAGCAAGTCGGTTCCATCCGCGCTATCATCACCGTTCGCGGAGTCCATGTCGAGGTACCTCAAGAATCCGAGCCGACTATCAAGGCCCACGAACCATGGATACCTTTCACACTTAGGTTCTATCTATACGCCGGCTCTAGTCACATTCGAATACTTCATACCATAACATACGACGGCGGGGAAAACGACTTTGTTCGAGGGATTGGGATCCGCCTCAAGGTACCTCTCCAGGAAGAAGCGGCCTTCGATAGACATGTGCGGTTTTCTGAAGCATCAGGGGGCGTTCTTGCCGAGGCTTCTCAAGGGCTGACTGGACTTTGGAAGGACCCTGGGCGACAGGCCAGATCCGCGCAGGTGCATGGAAAGCCACTGCCGTCTCCTGACAGTTGGAACCCGGAGCTGCCCCAAGATTCCTTGCGCTGGGTGCCTGTATGGAATGACTTCAGCTTGCATCAGCTATCGCCAGATGGGTTTACGCTCGAGAAACGACTAAAGGAAGGCCATCCGTGGATAAAGACCGCCAGTGGTACCAAGGCGGGAGGAGTTGTTTATGTCGGTGGCGCTAATCGGGGAGGATTGGCCATCGGGTTGAGACATTTCTGGGAACGATACCCAACCGGAGTCGACGTTCGAGGCCTTGGCGACTCTCAAAAAGACACCGAGGTGACACTTTGGCTATACGACCCCAAAGCCGGACCCATGGACCTTCGGCCTTATCATGACGGCTTAGGTCAACAAGGCTTTGACGATCAGCTAGACGCCCTGAAGATTACTTACGAGGATTGGGAGCCGGAACTCGGGTCGCCTTACGGGGTAGCGCGCACAAATGAGCTGATGATGTCAGTGATCGGCTCAACGCCAGATGGCAATGAGTTCTCATCACTCATAGACCTCGTCCGAGATCCTCCAAAGTTATTGCCTAGTCCGGAAGCCATTCACCTTAGTCAAGCTCTCGGTACATACTGGTCTCCATTGTCGAATAAGTCTGCCAACGGCCTTTCAGCCACCGATGAACGCCTCGAGTTCCTGTTTCAATTCTACGAGAAGCAAGTACAACAACGGCGTTGGTACGGGTTCTGGGACCATGGCGATATCATGCACACGTATGATGAAGACCGACACACCTGGCGATACGATGTTGGCGGATACGCCTGGGACAACTCCGAGCTATCACCGGATCTATGGCTCTGGCTGTACTTTCTGCGGACCGGTCGGGCTGATGTGTTCCACATGGCGGAAGCGTTGACTCGTCATACTGGAGAGGTGGATGTTTACCATCTTGGGTGTTATAAGGGTCTCGGTACACGACATGGCGTGCAGCACTGGAGCGACAGCTGCAAACAAGCCCGTATATCGAACGCCTTGTATCGCCGCTTCTTCTACTACCTATTTGGCGGTGACGAACGTGTTGGAGAACTTCTCGAAGAGACGCTTGATACGGATCAAAAGTTTCTGGTCCTCGATCCGTACCGAAAGGTGCGAAAGGACAGAGAAACCTACAGCCCAGATGCGCATGCCGTCGAGATCAGCCTGGGAACTGACTGGGCATCGCTGGCAGCCTCCTGGCTTGTCGAGTTTGAGCGACGAGGGCCACGATGGACTGAAGCCAGGTGTAAGCTGTTCAGGTCGATGGAAGGGATTGGCGCCCTTACCAACGGCTTTGTTACCGGGAATGCGACTTACAATCCGTCAACCGGAGCCATCTCGCCACCCGCCACAGACCCTGACAACCAAGGAGTAGTGAAGGTTTCCCACCTATCAGCAATGTTCGGGTTATTTGAGGTGGCGGCCGATATCCTGCAGCAGTTTTCGGAGAAAGCAAACGCAACTGGGTTCAGGCATGCATGGCTAGAGTATTGCATCTTCTTCAACGCTAGTCTAGAGGAACAGGAGGCTCGGTACGGCAAACCTGGCTGGGGCAGACTGCAGCTAAGACAAGGGCACTCTCGCCTGACTGCCTATGCGGCGAAGGAGCTTAACAGAACTGATCTGGCTAAACGCGCGTTGGAAGAGTTCGAGAATGGGGATGGCTTTCGGGACTATGGTCCGAACGCTGTCTGGAAAAGCACCCCGGTGAGCAAGAACCACGTTCTCGAGCCCGCAGATGAGGCTATTGGGGTTTCTACCAACGTCACCGCGCTGTATGGTCTGGCAGCTATTCAGAACCTGGCATTGTTGTTAGATGAGGCAAAAACAAGAACTTAAAATGATGTTCAGGTTAGCGTAACTATGTCGAAACGCACATCCAAGTTTCTCACTCATATGTTGTCGACTCCGCAGTTGTCCAGGAACCTGGCATCTCTAGACGCGACGCGTATCGCCTGCAGCAGAGTGCAGCGAGCTTTTCTTGTTGATCCTGACAAGCGATACCGACCGTTCTACCTCAATAGAAAACTTGTTGTGGTTGTGTGGAACAAATAAGGTTTTCAATGACAACTCAAGTTGAGTGGGATCAGAAACTCAGTCGAGTAGGGTCTTGGAATTCCCGGGTTCGTCCGGCCTAGTACACGGATGATCAGCTCATCGAAAAGCCTGAATTGGTGACAAATTGACGAATGAACAGAGTAATTTGCTGGAACATCCCAACTTTCAGCCAAACGCGAGTGCTCGCCTCGTCGGTTTCGGCTCCGTCCCGTGCATTGGTAACCAGTAGGAGAGACGTCGACGGTTGCAAGGAGATGGCATTGAATTTGAGTTTGTCCCGCAACTTGATCGAAACTGTTTCGTCTAACAAAACTTGTCGATCAGTGCACTCTAAATTGCTAGTCGTCTTGTTCCCGCCGGCAGAGTTCCCTGCAACATGGTAATGCTACCTTCCTGCAACAAACGCTATCCGGCATGAAGCTCCCACGGTCCAATCTCTGAGTGTCCACAACGACGATCCGCGTAACCCTCCACCACGAATAGCCTTTGAAACTGACCGAAATTACCGAGCTATATGAAGCTCATGTCTGCCCAGACCTCTTGCAATGAGGCCAGTTTGTTCGTCTCAATGGTAGATTGGCTGCTTTATTCAGCCATACCGCGCTCGTCTGGTCACAACTTTCGAGATCCGGAAGATCGCACGATGCGCGTCTGGTGTTTATACCGTTGAGATGCGTATGCGCTCGAAGAGTCTACTTGCGCCGCGGCGCCCCGTTCGCTTGGCTGTCTTTCTCGCCGCAGTTTTCGTCACAGTCTTCTTGCTGTTTCCTCCATTCGAGTCTAGACCGATCCTACTATTCCCCAGCACCAGCAGTCAGCCTGAGGAGATCACATTCCGCAAGAGTTCTTTCGACTGGGCGACAGTAGAGCAACACCACCCTGTCACTTCCTTCAAGCCTCTACCCACAGGCAAACCACTGAGCCTTCCTTCAATTCAGCACGAATTCGGCGTAGGCAATCCGCATCCAGAGGCACCGAAGCGACAGAAGGCTGTCCGTGATGTATTCATCCGGAGTTGGAACAGCTACAAGAAGTTTGCCTGGGGTCGGGATGAGTTAGCGCCCGTCAGTGCTGGGGCCAAGGACACATTTGGAGGATGGGCTGCGACACTGGTGGATTCGCTCGACACGCTCTGGATCATGGAGCTCAAGGACGAGTTCCGTGCTGCGGCCAGCGTAGCCGCGAAGTTGGATTGGGCCAATACAACAGCCACCAGCGTGAACATGTTCGAAACCACAATACGACATCTGGGCGGCCTACTTAGTGCGTACGATCTCAGTGGCGAGCCTGCTCTCCTCGATAAAGCGAAAGAACTGGGGGATATGCTTTACATGGGATTCGATACGCCAAACCGCCTGCCAGGCTTTTGGGTCAACTTCGAAGACGCTAGGAATGGAACCCAGCTAGCTGGCACGC